AAGAGTACAAACCAAATGAAGATACAGCTTCCATAATGATCCGACAACTAAAATAATCCACATTTAGCCCCGAAGAGGCTTCCTTCCTCCAAGCCAGCTCCCACCCTGTTATAGGGTTGCCAACTGCCTGGAGAAAAATGAGTCTTTAATAGATGCTAAGTGGGATGTTATCTACCAAGTTATATTTTTTTAAAGCCATGAAAAGCTTTGGTTTCCCTTATCCACACATTAAAATGACAGGACATTTTACTATAGACCTGCTGGCAAACTTACTCTGCTCATTCCTGCCCTTTTATTCTGTTGTTCTTGCTTGAAGCCATACTAACCAGCCCAATCCCTCAGCAACCCTCCCTTCTTCCAAACCCTTCCTACTGGCCAGGCTTTCTGACAGTCTCTCTCTTCTTTTTGCTGTTTGTATGGCTCCTGACCCTACAAATGCAGCCTGCTGCCACTCTTCAGCCTCATCCAATGCAAAATATGGCTGTGGAGATGCTGTGCACCAGCAAACGTTCCCTTGTTGGTTTGTGTGTGTGGAATGCTGGCCCCTGGGGTGGGTCCCGCTCACCTAGTTAGCAGACCTACGTAGAGTCATGTGGTGCTATATTCAGTCAAATGAGGCTTTGACTCTCCAAGAGCTGAATGCAGTGTCGTTTTCTAGATTGGGTGCAAGTAAAATAGTGTGTCACAGCCTGACTGCCTGCAGTCAATTCATATTCACCTAAGGCAACCGACAGAGCAAGTATTTACAGGCCTGAAGTAGCAAGTGAAACAGAACTATAGCCCCCGCCCTCTCCCCTGAATGCCCAGCATAGCCAGTCTCACCGCAACAATGCTCCGAGGAGCTTGGTAACATTTTCCGAAGTCTGGATGACGATCACAGGCTTTGAGAGAACCTGGGATACATCCAACTGCAGCAGGAAGGAAAGCAAGAGTCACTGGGGCTGCTGGGACGGCTATTGGCTCTTCCAGACCCCCCCAAATCTCAGCAAGAAGAAGGGGGTGGCAAGCGCTTACCTCTCGGATCGCGTTCTGGTTCAGTGCAAGAATAAGCAGGGCTGAGGCACCCAAGACGAGGGCCCGCTTCATCTGCAGAGGAAGATGCCATGGAGAAAAAGCAAATAACACCCCACTTGGGTTACTAACACCTCCAGAGAAAAAGTATCACAGGTCCTTGCTTGCTTCTGCTAGCGTGCCAGGGCTGCACTGTTTTCACTCTAGTTTCCCCCCAATTTGTAGTGGCCACATGCTAGAACTTCAGAGGATTGTGTCATCCCCCACCCTATCCATACAGCTAGCAGAAGCTGTCTAGCAACCTGATTCTCAGCACATTTACTCCAAAACGTTCACAGGCTTGTAGTCTAACAGTGCAATCCTATACAGAATTATACCCTTCTAAATCCAAGGGTCTAACTCTGTTTAGGATTGTGCTATAAATGATACAGGAGAAGGAAACACACAGCTGGTCAAGTTGCAGAATTCTGCCCATTCTTGGTAGAGCATTTGGGTTACCTTGGCCCAGAGTATGCACCAGCCTGGTCAACAGCACAAACAGTCCCATATTACTTGTCAAAAACATTCTTACCTCCAGCTGCCCAGTCTCATAGAGAAGCTATGTGGTTTTCCTGAAGACGGGGCTGGTTCACACATACAAGTGCAACATTTGATTACTGACAACTGAACATGTGACCTGCCTCCATTGAAAGTCATTGCATTCAGGACAATGAGATACAAAGGCAGTCCTGCTTGTGATCCTGGTTCTGCAATAGGCTATCCCCACATACAGATCATCCTTTCATGGTGCAAGAGACAGATATGCATGTGTAGGATTCCACCTAGAGGGTGAGAGTAGCAAGCGTGGCTAACTTACCTTGTTGACCACAGCCGTGGTGAAAGATTCTTCTCTGCTGCCTCTGGAAATCTCAGTCTGTTCCTCGCCTACTGGGACAACGCCAATCCATCCATCCTCCTCCTCCAACTTGGGGTCAGTGTCACCTACCTGGGAAAAAGGGAAGGCACTCTCACTGAAGTCCAGGCTGACCCAGCATTTGTCACTATGTGAATGAGCTCCAGAGACACTCGGCTCACACATTCCCTCCTCACGTTGTGCACAACAATCTAATTAAATGCTTTCACTGATAAGGCAGCCCCATAGCTTGGAATCCTGCTTTGTAAGCAAGCAAATGAGTTTGAAGTCAGATGTCGTGATGAGCTGTAGGTCGCTGTGAATGTTTTAATCGTTGAGCATTAGGGAGGGAACACGTGAGCCCAAGGATCCCCCATGTTCAGTCAAGTTCCCTGGGTGCTCCTGGGCCAGTCACTCTCTCAGCCTAATCTACCTCACAGCATAGTTGAAAAGACTGAAAAGGGAAGAGAAAACTATGTTCGACTGCCTTGAGTTCTTTAAAGGAAGGGCACAATAAAAATGTGATAGATTCTTCACATCTCAACCAGGCCTTACTGCTTGTAGCCCACAAAAGCTTTTGATCAGCTACCCACCAGCACCCAAAGATACTGAGTGCCACCCTAACTGCAACTGTATCAATAATTCTTTAACCAAGTTTCCCCCCCCCCATGGATTTTCCCCCAATTTTTCCAAAACAAAAACTGGAAATTTTAGTGCTGGAAAAAAATGTTCCTGTTAAATATTTAAGGCCCTAAATGGTCTGGGACCAGCATATCCACAGGACTGCATCTCCTGGTATACCCCTTGAAGAGCATTACACTCTGCAGAGAAGAATCTTCTGGTGATCCCTGTCCTGAAAGACATCTGGCTGCCCTCAACCAGAACCAGGGTTTTTTTGGCCCTGGCGCCAACCTGGTGGAACTCCGTGCCCTGTGGGACTTAGTGCAGTTCTACAGGGCCTGTAAGGCAGAGGTGTTCCACCGGGCCTGTGGTTGAGGACAGCAACGGTTCCCACTGAGCCTGGCTCTTCCCTTCTTTCCTCTCCCCCCACGGGGTAAAAATAAAAATCGGATGCTTAGCGCCATCTGAAATTGAAATTGTTATTGAATTTTATTGTTTTGTTTTTAAACTGACTTGTAAAATGTGTTTACTGAAATGTTGTTCACTGCCCTGAGCCCTGCTTGCAAATCAATCAAAGCAAATCAATCAAATCAATCAGTCAATTCTCCCATTCAGAATGAGTTAATTTTTTTTATAATACAAGGTTTTATTCATTCAAAATGTATACTGTGAAGATTTTTATATAATACAGTCTACCTCAGTGATGCTCAGTGGCTCAGGAGTCACACATGGCTCTCTGACCTGCCACCTGCAGCTCTTTGGAGCCCTGTTCTCTAGTGTGGCACCTGCCCCATATTTCAGGACAATGGGCCAAGGCCATTGCCTGATGGGGCTTGTGGTTGGCAGATGGTTCCCACCTTGAAAAAGGCACTACTGGAAGCCTCTGTGAGGTGCATGCTTTGTGCCAGGGATGTACGTAAATGTGGGTCTCCTGGTTGATGGCAACTGCAAATGTGGCTCTTGACAAGCCACAGAATACCACCAATCTACCTCATTAGATAATGATCATTCCTATGCATACTCCTAGACCAGGTATGTCCAACAAGTAGATCGCGATCTACCAGTGGATCACGGAGGAGTCAGAGGTAGATCACCAGCCCCACTTGGTCTCCTGGTTTGCTGGACAGGTGTTTGGGGTTTTTTGATGATTGTTTGGCGGTAAAAAATGTTTGCCGTTCTTTCTGGATCTTCGTCTCTCTGTTTTGTTTTTGCTTATTTTTCTTACCAGTAAATGACAGAAGGTGCACTATGAATGGGGGTGGTGGTGAAACCCAACTGTAGTGGGTTAAAATCTAATTTGAAACTAATTTGAAACTTTGTTTTCATGGTGGTAGATCACCAGCACTTTTGGCCAGAAAAAATAGATCACTACCTGTTCGAAGTTGGACATGCCTGCTATACTGAGCACCTGTCCTGCTTGGAAAGAGGCAAGGCAGAGGGCATTGACTTATGCAAAGTCACAACAGGCTGCCTCCTTTATGGACAGATACTTTAGGGCAGAATTGAATGATTCAATCATACCTCACTCCCATTGACAGTGGATGAAGGCAAGGAGGTAGAGTGGCAATTAAGTCATGCAAACACTGTGTGTTTACCTTGTTAATCCAGGTCTTACTGGGTCCCCCAGTGGGCCACTCTGAGACAGGAAGGAACTGACAGACTCAATAGTTTGACAGATTAAGCAGGTCACTGAGGCACACGATCAAGATAAGATAAAATGAATCAAAATTCACAAATGAAAGGAAAGAATGAGGATTTTTTTAATTAAAAAAAGAATGGTCCAAGGCTTGCATCAAAACCAAACATATTCAAGGCCCTACATGAACAGAGGAGAGGCGGACTTGGTGAATTGCATGAAAAGTAATTGGACACATTTTAAAATTTAGAAAAGAAGATAGCACATTGTTAGATGGTAACATAATTGAACCTATGATATTCTGGATCTTGCAGTACACACTTGCGCTCATTACAGTGTAGTCTTAAGGAGAGTTACAGACTTCTAAGCCTGTTGACTTCAACAGACTTAGAAGAGAATAACTCTGTTTAGGATTGCACTGTAAGTTGCTTTACATTTCTACAGCAGTTCTCATAATTACCCCTCAGAGAGCCCAGGAACCTGTGGCTGGAGAGTCAACATCTTGTGGCCGAACTAGATCAATGCATATTGACCGAAGGTGTAAACGACCTATTTCACCCAGAGGTGGTAGTGGAAGCTATTATGTTTGTTAAGAAGTTGCTACTTTTCTCCCTGTCTTCAAGCAGCTCTTCGGTTAGTTTCCTGTTCCTAAAACAGAAAGTTGTAGCAGTTTCTTTCTTGCTTTGTTGTGTTCCTTTGTTGGTGCAGTAAAAAAGACTTGTTGAAATGTAGTTATCTATACGTGGATTTTACTAATCCAGTCACAGCCCAGGCAGTACTCTGTCAATGCCCTCTACTCTTCTGTTCCACCAACAAAAGAAATTCAGATCACTCATCCCGCACCACCAATTAGGTCTGTCATGCCCTGTGTGTTACTACATGGGGGACCCCTCATGCCTCCCACACACTGAGACCCACAGCATGTGACTCCCAAGGTCCTCTGGCCATGTGTTAGATGTGTGGGGATAAAAGTGTGTGGTGGGAAGTTTGATATTAGTTTAGTGTAGTAGTTAGGAGTGCGGACTCTAATCTGGGAGAACCGGGTTTGATTTCCCACTCGTCCACCTGCAGCTGCTGGTGTGACCTTGGGTCAGTTATAAGTTCTTTCAGAGCTGTTCTCTCAAGCACAGTTCTTGGAAAAGCTCTCTCAGCCCCACCTACCTTACAGGGTGTCTGTCATGGGGAGTGGAAGGGAAAGGATATTGTAAGCTGCTCTGAGACTCCTTCGGGTACTGCAGGATGGGGTATAAATCCAATCTCTTCTCTTCTTCTCCTCTCAAGCAAGGCAGGAATTCCCCTCAGGTGCTCTCAAAATGGAGCACCCCAGCTGTACATGACATGTCACACTGTTTGGATCAGTGGTCCCTGAACCCAGCTCACCATCGCATGTTCATTGGGGAGCTCACTTTAAAAAAATTGCGCAGTTGCTCAGTGTGGCTTAGAAAGTGGCAGGGGGGGGGGAGGCTTCTGCCTTCACTTCCTTACTATTTTCCCTAGTGCCATTGGCCAGGAACACTCCTTTTTACCCTTTCCTTTTTTCCCCATGTTCAGTACACACGCCTACATTACAATATTATCCTCTCCCCCATTTTGACCTCACAAGAAGCCTGAAAGATAGGTTAGGCTGATAGTGTGTAACTGGTCCAAGATCCCTCAACAAGATTCTATGGCAGAGTGGGGGGATTTGAATCTGGATCTCCCAAATCTTAATCTGCCACTCTAAGAACTAACTACACTGGTTCAGCTGGTGGAAGTGAAAATTAAAATTGAAAATAGGATCAGGCTGAATAGGTGTATATCCAGTAGGGTTACCATCCTGAATGGAGCTGCAGTGGCTCAAGTGGTTAAGACGCTGAACTGCAGGCTGTGGAAGGTCAGTAGTTCAGCAGTTCGAGACCCAAGTTGCCGCATGATGGAGTGAGCTCCCATCTCTAGTTCCAGCTCCTGCCAACCTAGCAGTTTGAAAGCAAGAAATTGCAAGTAGATAAATAGGTACCACTTCGGTGGGAAGGTAACAGCATTCCGTGCACCTTGGTGTTTAGTCATGCCGGCCACATGACCATGGAAACATCTTCGGACAGTGCTGGCTCTTTGGCTTTGAAACAGAGATGAGCACCACAACCCTAGAGTCGGACGCGACTGGCTTTCGAGCAAGGGAACCTTTACCTTTACCTTTTACTTACCATCCTGAAGGTGGGGCTGGGAGTTTTACTGGAATTCTGACCCCTGCCTACAGAGATCAGTTTCCCTGAAGGAAATGGCAGTTTTGGAGGGGGAACTCTATGGCATCAGGTCCCCAATGAGCTCCTTGTGCTCCCCAAACTCTGTCCTGTCCAGGCACCATCCCCAAATATCCAGGAATTTCAGAAGCAAGCGTTGGCAACCCTAGCATAAGGCTTTTCGGCTTTTCACTTTAAAAAAGGGGGTAATAAACACTGGATGTTGATGCAGAGGAAAGAAGGTGGCTCTGATCTCAGCCTTGCTTGTAAAGTTTATTGGATTAGGAAGTCAGTTAAAATAAAGGAGACAAACATATCAAATGCCTTATTTTTATGGTTCACAAGTGAAGAAGTCAAAAGCGGGAAGGCCGTTCTTCATCCACCTTTTAAGATCCCTTAGCTGAGGCAAAATTTATAAAGGCATCCAGGATGATCTATGCTGCTTATGCTGTTGCAGCCAAATAATTATTTCTTTTTATTTGTTGTAAGAACCTCCACCGTAAGGTAATGCAACGTTTCAGGGCTCATAAGTCCACACCAAAAGCCGAGCACACAGGATATGCATGGGCATAGTAAATCAGAAATGAAGGCTGGTATTTGTATAACAATGTGCCACTTGTGTAAAGGTAAGGACTGTTTTTGTTTTAAAGGAT